CGCCTGCCGATACACAAGAGGAGAGATGTTTACGGTGTTTACTCCTCTCCTCTTTGTCTCAACAAACTCTCTGGGAAACGACAAATACAGCTGCGCTCGGGGACCCCGAGGAGCGCCCGCTGCCATGCTGACACCACCTCGATAAATAATTATGCCGACAATTAGCTCATTAACAGCAAACTGCCTCGTTAGGGAGGCGCAGGCAGGCAGTACGGCGAGGTCGGGCCAAGGGCGGTGGGACGGGGGTTATGGCAGCAACCGACATCCCTGGAGGATGAGGGCTGGGGCAGAGCTGAGGCAGAGGGATGGAGGGATGGAAGGATGGAAGGACAGAGGGACAGCTGTCCCCTGGCTGGTGCCGGCAGGGACCGACACGCACGACGGCACGCGAGGGCCGGTGACCTTGCAGCGTTTCAGCTTGCGGATGATGCTGGGATCTGCAGGAGGCCCTGAGCTCTGCCCGCTCTCCAATCTGCACGGGTGTTTGCAGGGTCCACGGCCTCAGCCCGTTGTTTTGGAGGCTTGGGGGTATTTTTTATTTATTACTATTATTTCTCTTTTGGTTTCATTTCAGTGATTTCCTTTGGCACTCATCTCGGCTGCCCCTGGCCCCCAGACACCGCAGGCCCCCACCACTGCAGCACAGCAGTGTTCTCCTCTCTCCAAGCACTAACCCACCTTTCCAAAATAGGGTCAAGAAACTCAGATTTCCCATAGGAAGCGGCCTGCCAGAGGAGGGAAAGCAGGCCCGCAGCACAGAACAAGCAGGAGCAGGTCGTCTTCTTGACGTGCCTTGTCTCATTGCCTCCCTTCAAGCCCACTTACGAAGGCAATGAGGGAGCAGACAGCAGAGGCGAGGCTTGTGCCACTCAGTGTTATTAATTAGCCAGTAATTCGCCAGTTAACACCATTACAGGCTCAGCCCATCCCCCTGTGCCGTGCCAGGGGCTGCCATGGGGACACGACGCAGGAGGCAGGTACCAAGTGCCAGGCTGGGATGCCAGGCTTTCTGCACATTAATCGCTACCCAGGAATAATCCCAGTGTGGTATGGTTCGTTAACACCTGCATTTCTCTGGCGGCCTCTGGGAAGGATGTGGCTTATCCTGGCCCAGTTTGGGCCAGTCTGTTAACAGCTGTTGCCCTGTGCCAGCAGGCTGGGCAGCAAGCCCCACCAAGGACTCTCCCTGGAGCTGCCCGCATCCTGCCAGCTTCAGGCACAGGCTCTGTCCACGCTTCCAATCCAAGGGTCAAGGACTCCAGGAACCCCAGGTACCTCCCAGGTGCAACATCTCCACTCCAGCTCCAACCCTCTGCCCTTTCTGCTACATCAGACCCTCGTCCCCCTGTTTTGGGGCTGGGCACGCTGGGCAGATAGGCTGAGCACGTGTGGCCGTGGGCACACAGACCTCGGTCCCGCCACTGCACAGAGACAGAAAAAGCTGGGCTACCCAACACCAAACCCCCTTCAGTGAGACACCGAGAGCCCCAAAACCTCTGGACAGGCTGAGGAGCGATGCAGGCAGCAGGGCTGGTGATGTGGAATGGTCCCGCACGGTGCCTTCGCTGCGTGTGCTCAGGTCTGAGTGCACCTGCACAAGGGGCCTCGGTCCCAAGCCAGTTCCGCTCTCCTTCCCACTGCCAGATCCCAGAAGGGCAGAGAGAGAAACAGGAGACAGGAATTCACTATGCGTGCCAGCACTGGGGCCAAATCACTAACATCTCCCGAGCTGGTGCCAAGCCTGGCGGCCTCTCCTCCTGGCTCTGGCTGCAGACAGTCGGAGCTGCCCTGCAGCAACCGGCGATGAGCATCCCTCGGCCCTGCGCTGCTCAAGGTCTCGGATCAGGGCACTGGGCAAAGCCTCCTCCAGCATGGACCAGCCTCAGCTCCCTGAAACCACAAAGGAGCGGAGCAAGAGAGCTCCTAGGACATTTTCTATACAGTGGGGTGTAAATCCCAAGCAACTACCGACTTGAGCAATTACTTTGTGCCTCCTTAAAAGTGAAAAAAACAACATGCCCTTTATTTTCTGGCCAGCCTTCACCACCCGGAGATCCATCACTGCCACAACCCACCCCAGAGGTGGCTGCATTTTATTAGGGGCACAGAAATTCCTGCCAGAAAGAGCCATGCTCCATGGGGGCTGGTTTGGCTTGCGCTCAGCACAAAGAGCTGAGGGCTTGACTCACGATCCAGTCGTGCCTTTCCCAGCTCTGCTTGGCAGCCGGAGGAGAATGGGGACAGAAAACACCACCTGGCTCCCCTGGGGGGAGTGGCACCCCCCAGCCCAACCCATTAAAACGCAGGAGCCACCTCATCGTGGCACACATCCTTCCACCCCGCAAGAGCCACATCTGCAGGGCCCAAAGAGCACCTCGAGATCAATCTACTTGCCTGGGGGCAGAGTCGTCCCCCTCCCCAAACCCAGGGGACACGGTGCTGCCGCAGGGTGCCAGGAAAGGCAAGCCGAGAGCACGGGAAGTGGTGGTGAGCATCATCTCCACCGGAGCCAGCAGCTGCGTGACCCAACAGGCAGCAGTGTAACGATTTCATCATTTTCCAGCAAAATTGAATTAGTTCAAAGCCAAAATCTGATTTGCGAGCCCAGCGCTCTTGACAGCAAACCCTCTACTTTGTCAGGCAGCTGTTAGCTGTCTCCTCCGGAGCTGCGGGGAGGACAGCAGCAGGGAAGGCTGGGCTGCCCCACAGGGACCCCCTGCCCACCTGCCTGCACTGCCTGCTCGGGCAGGGCCAGGGTCTTGGTGATGGGTGCTGAGCACCAGCAAGTGGGACTGGGGGGAGGTGAGTGACAGCAGGGTCGTCAGGAGCTACACCAGACCCTCCCAAACACACATACCAGCACCCCAAAACCCCTCTTTGACAAGTATCTGACCCCGACTGGGGACTACACAGCCCAGCATGGTGATGCCCAGTGTCAGACCACCCTGTCACCCGGTGCCACAGCCTCCCTGCGACTGCCTGTGGTTTGTAACACTGCCCGGAAAACAATCCAGCGCTAGTAATAGTTCAGCTGGAAAACAAATACAGAGAGCCAAGCGGGAGGTCCCCATTCCCCATCACCAACAGGACCCCGCAGAGCCGCTAAGACACAAGCAGGGACCAGATGCACCCATGTGAGCGCCCGGTAGAAGACACATCTCTGGACAGAGGGTAGCGCTTCCTCAGCCAGGAACCACTGCCCTGGGATGCCAGCACTAACCTCCAGCACCACTGGGTAACAATCTGCACTGGCCATGCCCAAAACCCACCTGACTATGGCACCTTGTGCCCTCTGTCCTCCTCTCCAGCACCCCATCGAGAGGACACGGCCTCTCCCCACTGTGACCAACTTCTAGTTGGACCATCAACCTCCTCACCTCCTTCTATCAGGTCTGTGCTTCCCGTCCCCCCCAGCACCTTCTGCTTGACCACCGCCATGACCCAGGTGACAGGAAACTCGAATTCATGCATGCCATCTGCAAGGGACTCCCCAGCACCAGATGCCCTGAGGACAGAGCATCCTGGTCTCCCATCCCAGCTCACCGACACTTCCCAAATCCACAGGGCAGGGGCACCAGAAGAAGGCACCAGTGTCAGCACAGGCTCCCTCAGTCCAGGCTCTCCATGGGCACCGACACAAATCAAACCCAGACAGTCACCCCAAACCTAAGCCACGGTCTCCAAGAGGAACGCTACTGAAGGAGCCAAGCACCCAGCCCGAACGGTGACAGTTCTCCCAGCAGGAAAACACAGCTCAGGTCAGATCAGTGAATGGTCCGGCCAGAGAGCACCATCATGAACAGCCTGGCCTGGGTAGAGACAAGCAGGAACTTACCGAGTTGATGCAGCCCAGTTCCTTATTCAAGAGCCAGGGCAGCGAGAGTTTCCCTTCCCCTCTGTAGCACGACTGGATACGCTCCTTGATCTTATCCTTGATCTTCTTCAACGTGAAGAGGCAGAGCACAGACTCCTTGGGAGGCTTAACCCTGTTTTTCTGGCCCTGGGAGAAGATGGTAAAGAGGATATCCTCCCGCTCCGAGATGCCCAGGTACTTGGCCAAAGCCTTGCCAGGCTTGGTCAGGTAGGCGTCCTGGATCAGGCGGTACTCAATGCCGTCCTGCACACAGCCGATGGGGAACTCCACGTAGGAGTAGAACTTGGGGTCATCCACGCAGAGGCGGACGATCTTGGAGGTGAAAAACTGCTCGCCGGTGGAGTCGGGCGAGGTGAGCTGGGTGTCCAGTTGCAGGGTCAGATAGTAAACAAACTGCTCGCTGCTGAAGCTGTAGATATAGTAGATGTCAAAGGTGGGGAACTTGGAGAGCGTATCCGAAGGGATCTTGAGCTGAGAGGAGACAAACTCGTCCTGGTAGACAAAGCCAAACATCTCCGCATTCTCCTCGTTGGCCATCAGCTTGCGGCTGGAGAGCGTGGGGAAGTACTCCGACTTCCCATCGATGGGCGTCCCAATGAAGAGCTTGTTCTGCCCGTTCAGCACCTCGATGATGACCCCAGACATGGTGCCTGACTCATTGACACTGGAGAGGTAGTGTTCCTTGCGGTGGTGGGGCTCGCCCAACTTGAAGAGGTCGTCCAGCCGCAGGAACTGGCAAATACCCTGGGAGGCACTGCCGCAGGCGATCAGCCGGTTCCCCGAGTAGTCCACCAGCAGCAGTTTGTTCACGTTGTTGGTGGTGACCAGCCCATGCGGGCAGGACTGAACGCTGGGCGGAGGGTAACACTTCTCATTGTCCTCCACAGGCCCCGTCACGTGGGTCCGCAGGAGCGTGAGGTTATTGGAGAGCTTGTAGATCCGATTGACAGCCCCCACGTAGACCTCCCCGGTTTTGTTGTGGACCACCAAGTGTGTCAAGCTCCAGTCTGTAACCGGGAAAGTCCTAAAGGGAGACTTGGGGCTGCCTTCCGCCAGCGGTAGCCAGGTGCTCCCCAAAAGCACTAAGGTCCAAATGTTAACAGACAAGTGGTGCTTGAGCCAAAGGAGCCACATTGCAGCAGCCTCGCATCCAGCCAAGGCCATACCCAAACCCAGCCAACAAAATAAATAGAAACAAACCCAAACTAAAGGGAGGAGGAGCTAATGAGAAACAGTCTCCTCTGGTCCACTGCGCTTGGCATTCAGGGCATCATGGGCACAGCCAGTTCGGTCAGCCCTACAGGAAGAAAGACAAGAGAGTGATTAGGAAGCTTTCCTGCATAGCGTCAAGCCTGTTCCACCGCACACAGAGACTTTGCTCCTTCACACTTTTCTACCTGGCAGCCTAACAAACCGTCCCCCACCACCTCCCGCCCCAGAGGAACACGCATCCTGGCACAGGGACCAAGGGAGCCTGCGAGATGCCCAGCACAACCCCACCTGGTTGCCCACAGTGGGTCCCAGCCAAGGAGCTGCCACATGCTTTGTCCCATCATCCTGGCCTTGGCTATCAGTCCCACCAGACAGTGGCCCCCTCTGAGGAGCACCACCCTGCCCTCGCCCCTGCCCAAAGCCCCCTCAGGAAGCGCAGCAGCCACTGCCTGGACCAGGGCAGCACATCCCCGCAGGCAGCAGCCCAGCGATCCGCTCCAGCACACCTACTGCATACAGACACCACGGTGGGGGTTGCTGGCCCTGACCTGCTTTAAGACCACCAGCAGCACTGAGGTGTGAGCTGGGATGGCTGCCACAATAGGAGCTCCCGTCCCGCTGCCCCATCCTGCTCCATGGCAATGGGAGTGGATGCAAAACCCCGGTTTGCAGGAAACACAGCCCAATCCCCTTCACAGAGAAGGACCTTTTAAAGGAGCTGGGAGAGCCAAGAGCCTGGCATACTGCCAGCTGTACCTGCCCCCTGCCCGCCTGACAAAGCCCAGGAGGGCTATGGGCAGAAGGAGTCGGGGGAGCAGGCGGGCACGGCAAGGAGAAGCACGTCCTTCTGGCATTTATATGCATTAAGAAACGCAGGGCCAGTCATCAGGCAGTTGGCTTGAGAGGCTCCAGAGGGACAAGGGGGCACGTGCGCGGAGGATGGAGAGCTCAGCATGCTGCGGTGCCACGTCTGGGGCTTGCCAGTTTGGTGGGTAAAGCAGCAGGGAGCCAGCCCAAACCCCACAGCAGCGTGACCTTGGTGTCGGCGGCGCAGGGAGGAGATGGACGCAGGGAGCCGACAGACAGTTCTGCTTGCGTCTGCCCAGCAGCTCCTCAGCTGCACAACCTCCCCAGAGGCACAAGCACCCCTGGGCTAACGGGCAAACCCCCCTTGCCGGCACACAGCTCACCAACACCCTCACAGCCCGTCTGTGTGGGGTGGGACCATCCCTCCCAAGGCCCACAGGCGGGACACGAGGTCAGCTCCACACCCCAGCCATGGCAGATAAGCCACTCCTTCAGCAGAGGAGACCGTCCTTCTCCTTATCACCCCTCTCTGACTCAGCCCGGAATAACCTGCGGCAGGATCCCCACCAGGGAGTGGCCTGGGTAGGGAATATGGCCCACGGTGACTGCACGCGCTGGCGTCATCCCTGACCGGGCGGGGTGCAGTCCGAGGGCAGCCAAGGCAGGGCTGTGTGGGGCAGAACAGCCACCTCCGAGCTCAGCAGCCTGCGTGTAGCAGGGCTATGCGACCTGCCAGACAGGCCTCACACTGGCCTTGGGGGGCTGCACTGTCACCAGGCCATGGCTGGTCAATCCAGGTACCCCCGACATCCATATAGCATCCTTAGTTTTGCTGACCCCTTCCCAAGCCACGGAGCCAGCCAGGGAGAGGCCTGAGGGAAGGAAGAGGCTTTTTCTCCCCCCTCTCCCTTCCCAGGGCAAGGCCGGCCTCAGCCAGCCCTGCCAGCTCCACCAGGCCCGGCAGAGCTTTGGGCAAAGCCTCCACACCACTTCCAAACCCTCTCTGCCAACCTGCCACCTTCTGCCCCCCAACACATCCCCCTCCAAGGCAACAGCCTCGAGGGAGGTTTGGGCAACCAGCATGAGCAACGCTAAGACAAAAGCCTGTGCCACAAAGCTGTGTGGGTGTGCCGACAACGAAAGCGTGGAGACACCAGCCCTGGAAATCATTCCTATGGCCTTAATCCCCCATGTGCCCCCCAGCTTTTTTGCAACAGTCACACCACTGCTGGGGCGAGCATGCTCTGGGGACAGCCATGCTGCCCAGCACCTTCATTTTTAAGAACTTGCTGCTAAGAGCATAACCACAAGGACCCCAAATCGGAGCTTATTCACCCCAAAACCACACCAAGGTATGGGACCAAGCCGCACCGTCGGCACAAACCCACCAGTTAGCTCTGAGAGCCGCCATCACGGCAGCAACAGGCAGTGCCGTTTCCTGCCAGGCTGCCGGAGGGAGGGTTCCCACCCTGAGAAACCGGCACGGCTCTCACCACGCTGCTGCAAACCCTGGGGCTGAGCCCCCCCGGAACAGGAGGGATGGCCGCCTCGCGAGGAGATCACCATCAACACAAAACCTCGGCTCACATGCCAGCGACACGCCACGCCACAGAGAGGAGAAGGAGCAGGGCAAGCCGGCCGAGGTGAAAGTGGGAGCTCGGTGCAGCCCGGGGATGGATGCCAGCCGGAGCATCGTCCTGCTGGGACAGGCGAGCGGGACAGGGAAACCACTTTCCGAGTGTGTTTCTATGATTCATTGCTTCTATTTCAGGAAGCGGGAGAGCTGGAGGTCAGGCTGCTGCCACAAAGCAGGGCTAGAAAGCCCAACAGGAGATTCCCAGATTAATGTAGGGAACTGCTACTCAGGAGCTGGAATGAGAGCAAGGCAGAGCAGAGAGACGACACTCTGCAGAGCTCTT